CAAAATACTGCATCCAGTTTTGGTCACCACACTATAAAAAAGATGTGGAGACTCTAGAAAGAGTGCACAGAAGAGCAACCAATACGATTAGGGGACAGGAGACTAAAACATATGAAGAACAGTTACAGGATCTGGGCATGGCTAGTCTAGTGAAGAGAAGGACCAGGGGAGACATGATCACAGTCTTCCAATATTTGAGGGGCTGCCACAGAGAGGAGGGGGTCAAGATATTTTCCAAAGCACCTGAAGGTCAGACAAGGAATAATGGATGGAAACGGAGCAAGGAGAGTTTCAACCTAGAAACAAGGAGAACTTTTCTGACAGTGAGAACAATCAACCCATGGAACTTGCTTTCAGAAGTTGTGGGAGCTTCATCAATGGAGACTTTCAAGAAGAGACTGGATTGCCATTTGTCAGAAATGGTGTAGGGTCTCCTGCTTGGGCAGGTGATTGGACTAGATGACCTACAAGGTCCCTTCCAACTCTTAATCTGTATCATTTGGACAATGATCTCATGAAGCACATTATTGTAGCATCTGTCAGACACCGGTGGTCCTGTCTGATAACTTAAAAGCACACCAAGATACGACACGGACAGGGACTTAGACATAGCTATTTTTGGGAAAGGGGAAGGAGACCTCTCAGCTGCCAGTTTAAGTTGGAAACAACAGATTTATAGACTACCAATAAAGCAGAATTCAGGGTTGACATGAGGGGTCTCTTGGTGCTCTCTGAACTTGCTCGTTTTCTTGCAGACGTTTCATTACCCAAACTAGGTAACATCATCAGTGCCAGTAAGGAGTGGGGTGTACTCCCGCTTCTTACTAGAAAAGCCTTACCAGCACTGATGAGGCTATCTAGTTTGGATAATGAAACATCTGCAAGAAAGCAACTAAGCTCAAAGAGCACCAGGGACCCCTTCAAATTTATATACCCCGAGTATATAAAAGATTGCTTGATACATTATCTGGGTATCTGTAGTTTGGAGGGAGAGATTCTATCAACAGATTCTAAGCCCAGGGAGACATTGATGAGTGTTGCTCACCGAGCTTCTTCATCCAGGAGTGTTTAATTGCTAATTTGCTGCTGGGTCGACTGCTGGAGCCGTCCTTGTGTCAGAGAATCTGCATTTTGCCAATGCAAAAATGTACACATTTCCCCAGAGCTGCTTCAAAAGACAATGGCTTCAGAAGACAGCGCATGTATTTCTCTTCTCCGTGGCAGAAAGAGCTGAAGGAAATGCCCTTTTCAAAGGCAGCCTTGTCTTTTATTCCGAGAGGGATGAAAGAATAGCTTTTGCATTTGTTCCTAGCTTGAAAGCCAAGCGGGGAAGAGCTGTTTACAAGGCTTCTGAGGAAG